GTGGTGTGGTACTGTGGTGGTGGCGTGGGGGGCTCAAGAGGTGGAACAGCCCACCAATTAACATAACTGTACTGGTGTTTACTGTCACTACCTCACCCCTCCCCCCCATCCCGTGTTTCATTACTTCAACCACGTGTTCAGTTTTATTGTCACCTCTTCCTCCTCTCCCCTTCCTCTTCCCGCCCCCCCCTTCCTTCTGTTCCTTCTCTTCTTCCTTCCCCTCTCTCTCAAACTCTTTCCCTACACACACACACACACACACACACACACACACACACACACGAGTTACCTGAAGACACATTTTCCACTTAGGACAGCCTGTGTGTGTTTGTGTGTGTGTGGTTATGGTTGTGTGTGTGTGTGTGGTTATGGCTGTGTGTGTGTATGGTTGTGTGTGTGTATAGTTGTGTGGGTGTGTGTGTGTGTGTGTAGTTCAATTTAATTTCATTCATATAATTACTAATAACTTAATTACCCCCCAAAATCAGTACAGACAACCTATGGTATTATTTGGCCTCCGTTCTCATAAAGTTCATATAATCCGCATATGAATCCGTCTTCTGTATACAAACGATGAGTCAGCAGATCTCAGGTCAACAAACATTCCTCGGTCACCTGGAACAGTCATTCAGGGTGAAATAACGGTGTAACTACGTGCATTGAACTGGAAATAAGTGAGGTACTGGCAAACGTGTGAAATAAGAACGAAAACGTGTGAAATCAGGGATAAATACGTGGAAATAATAAATACTTATGTAGATAATGTAAATAAACGCGAAATAATATAAAAACTCAACTAATCAACAAATAACCGACAAAAAACCCAAATTACGAATAAGATTAACATAAAATACGTAAACATAACCAATTAAATAAGTAAAAATACCCCCCCCCAAAAAAAAAAAAAAATACGCAATGGCAATACCTCGCATATCAAACAGTTAAGGTGCACAACTAACTAGAAATAACTGAGGGGGGGGGGTGAGTGGAGATAGATGAAGTGGTAAGTAAAGACTGTGTGATGTGACTGGTAGACTGGTGATACCTGCCGTGACCTACAACCCTTTCAGTAACTGTGTCTTTGCCTAAATCGTCAAGAACCGTAGCGTAGCAGGAGTGCCTTGAGACAGTCACCTAGGGGCGGGGGGGGGGTGAAGTAGTAGTGGTGGTGGTGGTAGTAGTAGTAGTAGTAGTAGTAGTAGTAGTAGTGGTAGTAGTAGTGGTAGTAGTAAAAGTATAATCATTGTAATAATTCTTTTGGTATAAATATCATCATCATCATCATTATCACCATCATCATCACCATCATCATCATCATCATTATCATCATTATCATCATCATCATCATCATCATTTCCGTCTCTCTACTATGTCACTTATTATTCACTTCCTCTTCCTCTCGCTTTTTTTATTGAATTATTTCATCTCTGACGTTCGTAATCCACTGGTGCAAAGGGGGGGGTAATTACTCTTCTTCTTCTTCTTCTTCTTCTTCTTCTTCTTCTTCTTCTTCTCCTTCCTGATCCTCAATACTTCCTGGTATGTATGTATGTATGTATGTATGTATGTACAGTATATACAGTATATGTATGCGTGTGTTATGTGTATGTGTCCCGTTCATTCTCTCTCTCTCACCTCTTGACCTGATGCTCTGCGGTACCTGTAATCTACCCATAATTACACTGTACCTGTGACCTGGGTACAGCCTCTGTATTTCTTACCTGGTAGATCCTGCTGTAGTTTGTTTCTTTACTGTAACCTGTTGGTGCTGTAGTGTATGTATTTGTAGGCGTTTGTTTATACCTTGAAAACTTGTGCTGTAATTTCCTGTAATCGTTATGGTTTGTTTATTTGTAATGCGGTGTTGTATTACTGTAACTTTGGATGTATATAACCGACTGTTGTAACTGTAATGCTCTGTATCGTCTATTAAGATTACAAGGGATTGATACAGGTGATTGCTGTAACTTTCTAACCCTGTAGTCTTTGGTTATGCTGTAATTATGGTATCCCTAAAATAATAAAGTGACTATTGTAATCTTCATTCTGTAATCGGGGTCATATTTATAAAGTTTATGTATTCTGAGATCTTCTGTATTTTGGCACTGTATTCCTGTAACTCTCCTCATAGTTAGTTTAGCTTGGATCCTCCCCTCTGTATTTTTGCTGTATTCGTGGTGATTTGGTACGGTGTGTTTGTGTATTTGCTGTTGAGAAGGAAATGGTGAGAGAGAGAGAGAGAGACACACCCATCCTTCCTCAATAAATAAATATAAAACGAAAATGAGAAATATAACCCTCTCACGACACACACACACACATACGATAAGAAAGATCAGTTACGTCAGCTAAGGCGGCAGGTATTGGGCTGACTAACGCAACCACACCTGATGCCCAAGATGTTTTGTAATAATACCCAGCCGAAAAATAAGACGTGTTTGGGTGTGGTCAGCCGAGTGTTGGGCCAAGGTGATGCATTGACCGGGAAGGGGGAGGGGAGGGGGAGAATAAGGGTGGAAGGAGAAGGAAGAATTGGAAGGGGAGGGGGAGAATAAGGGGAAGGAATTGGAAGGGGGAGGGGGAGAATAAGGAAGGGGAAGAAGGGGTGGAAGGAGGGAGAATAAGGGTGGAAGGGGAGAATAAGGAAGGGGGAAGAAGGGGTGGAAGGGGGGAGGGAGAATAAGGGGAAGGGGGGAGAAGAAGGGGTGGAAGGGAGGAGGGGAGAATAAGAGATTGAAGGGGGGAGAGAATAAAAGGGGAAGGGGAGGGGAGAATAAGGGTGGAAGGGGGGGAGAATAAGGGGAAGGGGGGGAGAAGAGGAGATTGAAGGGGAGGGGGAGAATACGGGTGGAAGGGGAGGGAGAATACGGGTGGAAGGGGGAGAAAGAAGGGGTGGAATTGGTTAGTCTGGAGGGGAGGAGGATAGGGGGATAGGTGGGGAGGGGTAGAGAGGTGGACGGTGGAGCAGTTAGATATAGAAATGACTGAGCCGTCCACGATTGATGTAGGCACACACACACACACACACACACACACACACACACACACACACACACACACGCACACACACACACATACACACACAGGGCACACACACACACCTTTTGTTACCTCACCTTGGTGGATTGGCCCATCCTCAGGTAAACCAAGGTAAGATTACCACCACCGTCACACACACCTGTTCTTACCTGCTGTGACCTTCGTGACGCAATGCCCTGACAGCTAATTAACCCTTTGATTGTGGTGTGTGTGTGTGTGTGTGTGTGTGTGTGTGTGTGTGTGTGTGTGTGTGTGTGTGTGTGTGTACAGGTATTATAGATGAAGGTGGTAGAAATGACTTGTAGGATATTATTATTATTATTATTATTATTATTATTATTATTATTATTATTATCGTTTGTTGCTTTCCTTTATTATTATTGTTCCTCCTGTTCCTCTCTCTTTCATTGCACAATCTCTCACTCTTGTCTCTTCTCTTTCCTTCATTCTACGCCCGTATTCTCTCACACGCCCCCACACGCCCCCACGCCTTTCATACCCTCACTGACAGGTAGACCTTAGGGGCGTGCGGGGTCTCACCTGTAATTAAGACAGGTTGAGTGTGTATCACTGTCACACCTGTATACGGAACACGTCAATTAGGAACAACGGTACCACAACGGGACTGTTTTAATGGGGCTATAGAGTAACAACAGAATATGGCATCACAACGGGACTGTTTTAATTTGACTATAAACTAACAGAAATTGGGACGAAAAACAGCAATAAGGGACAACAACAACAGGAGAAAAAACAGAGATAAACAGTACGTCTCTTCCTGTCTATTTTGCTGTCTGTCTGTCTGTCTGTTTTGCCTTAGTGTTGAATCTCTCAGAACTTAACAGCTGGTGTGTGTGTGTGTGTGTGTGTGTGTGTGTGTGCTAGTCTAATTCCTAAGGGGACTCAAATTCGTTCTTGTTGCCTAATGATAATATTGATGATAGTAGCAGTAGTAGTAAGTAGTAGTAAGTAGTAGTAGTAGTAATAGTAGTAATAAGTAGTAGTAGTCATTAGGGCGTGGTCATTCCGTCAACTGGACAAGGGGTAGGGTAGTGGTGGTAATGGTGCAGCTCTTGTTGATACAGTCTCCTCGCCCGTTCGCCTTGACTTGAATCCGGATTTACTGTCTGAATCCAGGTCGAATTATTATTATTATTGTCATTTTTTTTCTACCTTTCTTGCCCCCTCACACTTCTTGTTGGTGGGTATAGCGTCAAAGTGTGTGGGTACGCGTCGGTGGGCACAGGGTACTTTGTCTTCATTGAGATCTTTATTATTATTAGTTATGGTTTGGTTGTGGTTTGGTTGTATGTGAGGAAGTTGGAGTTTGAGATTATTTCTGTCGTGTTATTTTGGTGGGGGTGAGAGAGGGGGGATTTTTTGTTCATTGTTTTTGTTTGTGGGGGGAAGGGGAGGGGTGTGTGGAGTGTGTTTGTCTGTTAGTCTCATTTTTTCTGTTTTCTCTTTTTCTCTCCTTCTCTCTCTATTTCTCTATCTCTTTCTCTCTCTCTCTCACAGACACAAACCAAGATAGATAGATTCAGTAAATTATTGTTATTATTATTATTTATTATTATTATTATTATTATTATTATTATTATTATTATTATTATTATTATTATTATTATCTCAAACTACGAATCATTCATTGCATTTTCTCTCCCTCTTTTCTTACCCTCTCTCTCTCCTTCCTGTCTCCTTTCCCCCCCTCTCTCTAGGTATATAAACATAATATTAATTCACTTTCAACACCCCGCCCTCATTTCACCTTGTCCATTTCTCACGCCATTCAAGTCTGAACGAAAGAAAGAATTAATTTTTTTTTTGTTTAATAATGAATGTTGACACAGATTAGTCTTTTGTTGGCAGTATAAAGGTGATTATTGATAAATTATTACTACACGAGTCTGATAATTCTATCTATCTATCTATATTAAGCAATCAATTCTCTTGCCCCACAGCGGAGAGCACGGAGTTTGGGTGTGACCTGTCGCTAGAACAGCCATGCAGGTCTAACTCGTCTCAATGCGTGCCTCTGGTCAATGTTGGAGACGGCTACATCGATTGTCCGGATGGCTCAGATGAAGGTAAGCTTGAGTATTAATGAAAGAAAAAACAATGCAGGAAGGAATCAATTTTACCTTGAAAGAATCGAAAAAAATATGTTATGAGATCGTAAAAGAAAATTAGGTTTATTGAATTGGAGTCAGCCATTCGAACACACCCACAGTCAGGATGGCTCCGATTTGACAAGCTTCCATATTAGGTACAAAATTGGCGGGAATTCTATGATAAAGGCAAATTTCCCCATTTAGGGAAAAAATAGAAATTTACCTTAAAAGAAGTTGAAAAGATAATTAGACGGAAAATAAAAGAATGTTATATGAGAACCGTGAGGGAAAATCGAGGTGTTATTTTTTTCTTGTTTGGTTAGTGTGAAGTAATCGGATACTTCCTCCACTCCCCAGCTGGTCAAGGAGGTACAATAATGAGTCTTACTCATAAATTACAGCTCATAAAACTACAACTCATAAATTACAACTCATAAAATTACAACTTATAATCCATAAACTCATAAAACTACAACTCACAACCAACCCATAACCAACTCACAACCAAGTAATAGCCAATTCACAACCAACTCATAAAAAACATTTACTTATTAACCAGGTAAAGAGAAGGGTGCTTGTTCACCTTGTAGGTTAGGTTAAGTTTGGTTAGGTTAGGCTAGGTTAGGTTCCGAAATTTTAATTTTTACCTCTACCCTAAAAAAATGATATATTCCATGACGTCATCTCGAACCTGACGTCATATCCATCCTTCAAGAATTCAGTGACGTCACATCCGGGTTTCATTAGGAGAACGGCCATGACGTCATAACCATCGATCTTCTGAGCTCACGAACGCCCTTGACTTTTACACACATATTAATCAGAAAATTTTACACTTAAATCCTGACACCAGTAAACCTGACATCACTAAACCTGACACCACTAAACCTGACACCACTAAACCTGACACCACTAAACCTGACACCAGTAAACCTGACACCAGTAAACCTGACACCACTAAACCTGACACCACTAAACCTGACACCACTAAACCTGACACCACTAAACCTGACACCACTAAACCTGACACCACTAAACCTGACACCACTAAACCTGACATCACTAAACCTGACACCACTAAACCTGACACCACTAAACCTAACACCACTAAACCTGACACCAGTAAACCTGACACCAGTAAACCTGACACCAGTAAACCTGACACCACTAAAACCTGACACCACTAAACCTGACACCACTAAACCTGACACCACTAAACCTGACATCACTAAACCTGACACCACTAAACCTGACACCAGTAAACCTGACACCAAAACCTGACACCAGTAAACCTGACACCACTAAACCTGACACCACTAAACCTGACACCACTAAACCTGACACCACTAAACCTGCATCACTAAACCTGACACCACTAAACCTGACACCAGTAAACCTGACACCAGTAAACCTGACACCAGTAAACCTGACACCACTAAACCTGACACCACTAAACCTGACACCACTAAACCTGACACCACTAAACCTGACACTAGTAAACCTGACACCACTAAACCTGACATCACTAAACCTGACACCACTAAACTGACACTAGTAAACCTGACACCAGTAAACCTGACACCACTACCTGACACCACTAAACCTGACACTAGTAAACCTGACACCAGTAACTGACACCACTAAACCTGACACCACTAAACCTGACACCACTAAACCTGACACCAGTAAACCTGACCAACCTGACACCAGTAACCTGACACCACTAAACCTGACACCACTAAACCTGACACCACTAAACCTGACACCACTAAACCTGACACTAGTAAACCTGACACCACTAAACCTGACACCACTAAACCTGACACCACTAAACCTGATACCACTAAACCTGGCACCACTAAACCTATCACCACTAAACCTGACACCAGTAAACCTGACACCACTAAACCTAACACCACTAAACTATCACCACTAAACCTGACACCAGTAAACCTGACATCACTAAACCTGACCCAGTAAACCTAACACCACTAAACCTGACATCACTAAACCTGACACCACTAAACCTGACACCACTAAACCTGACACCAGTAAACCTGACACCACTAAACCTAACACCACTAAACCTGACACCACTAAACCTGACACCACTACATCCTTTTCCCTGGAGACTGTGTCAACTTGAGGTGTCATAAAAACCTATAAACATTGACTGATTTGCGTCTCTCAGTTGAGGAAGGGCAAGTAGGGAAAGTAGTGGCGTAGATGTGTAGTAGGGAAAGTAGGTGAAAGCGTATGTGTATGGAAGTAGGGAAAGTAGGTGGCGTAGATTTATAAGCGTATTTGAATGAGAGAAGGACACGAGAAGGAAGAATGGAGGGAAGGAAGGAAAGAAGAAAGAAAGAAGGAAGGAAGGAAGGAAGTGGAAAGGACGAAGTGTGTGAAAATATCGGAGGTGAGGAAGGTGAGAGGAGAGGACAAAGGGAGATAGAAGAATGAGAGAAGGAAGGAACAACAAAGACAGGGCAAGAGAGAGAGAGAGAGAGAGAGAGAGACTAGATCTTTTGTTGACATGTCCACCAGCATGACACACACACACACACACACACACACACACACACACACACAGTCATATTTTTACCTTCTTATTTTTTCTTACTATTTATTAATTTTCCTCCAAGTGTTGATTCTGAGGTGAGGTGCAGCAGTCCTCCCCCCCTCTCTCTCTCTCTCTCTCTCTCTCTCTCTCTCTCTCTCTCTCTCTCTCTCTCTCTCTCTACCAAACGTCTTTCGTAAACCTCAGTTGGTGTAATATGGGGTGACTCGGCCCACAGGTTCCTAGTGGTGGTAGTGGTGGTAGTGATGCTGGTAGTGGTGGCAGGGGTAGTGGTGGTAGTGGTGAATAGTGGTAGTGGTGATGGTGGTAGTGGTGATGGTGGTAGTGGTGGCGGTACAGTGGTGGAATAGTGGTAGTGGTAGTGGTGTAATAGTGGTAGTGGTGATGGTGGCTAGACTTGACTCTTTGCGACCATGTTGTGATGCAGTGAAAGCAACCTCCAAGTACTTCCCTCCTGTCTGCCTCTCTCCCTCCTGTCTCTCCTTCTCCCTGCCTCTTCCCTTTCTTCCTCTCCCTGTCTCCCTGCCTCCCTCTCTCCCTCCCTGTCTGCCTCTCTCCCTCCCTGTCTCTCCCTTCCTCCCTGCCTCTTCCCCTTTCTTCTCTCCTGTCTCCCTGCCTCCCTGTCTGCCTCTCTCCCTCCCTGTCTGCCCTCTCTCCTCCCCTGTCTCTCCCTTCCTCCGTGCCTCTTCCCTTTCTTCCTCTCCCTGTCTCCTGCCTCCCTGTCTGCCTCTCTCCCTCCTGTCTCTCCTTCCTCCTCTCCTGCTCCCTCCCAGGGTGTTTATTAGCGCCAGGGTGATTTATTTACCAGCGGTGAGAAAGGTGTTTGACAAGTGCTGGGGAGTGTATGGATTGTGTGTGTGTGTGTATGTGTGTATGTGTGTATGTGTGTATGTGTGTGTATGTGTGTGTGTGTATGGGATGGGGAGAAGAGGAAAAGTTATGGAGAGGGAAGGAAGGAGAGGAGAAAAGGAGGAAAAGGAGGGAAAGAGGGACAGGGAAGGGAAGGAGGGGAGAAGGAGAGTAAAAACTGACAGCCTCGGTACTTGTGGGTAATTCTGGCCCCCCACACACACACACACACACACACACACACACACAAACACACACACACACACACACACGCCCTCACGACCACAGAACCAAAAAGGTGTAAACAGTACCTTCAGTATGATGGTAGTTACTGTAGACAACTTGTTTATATCTGTAGACGATAACTACCCTTCCCCTGACGACCCTCCCACCCCCTCCTGACGACCCTCCCCCCTCCTGACGACCCCTGAGGACCCTCCCTCCCTCCTGACGACCTCCTGAGTATTGGGGGTCAGTGTATGTGTTTTTAGAGGGGTGTAGAGGTCATACTCTGACCCTCCTACCCCTTCCCTCCTCCCATCGACCCTCTTTCACCCCCTCCTCCACCCTCCCTCCTTCACCCCTCCTTCACCCCGTTCCTCACCACAAGAGTCAAGTGCCAGGTAACAAGTGGTAGAGCTGTCCTTCAGGTGACACACACACACGGATAGATAGATAGATAGACCAACAGGTGAGTACAGGTAATAACATTTTCTCAAGGATAATTTAGCTTTAGAAACTTGACCAGGAGTTCAAGGAGTAGCCAAGGTCCTGTCGGCTCCTGTGAGAGAGAGAGAGAGCCAGGAAGCATCAGTTTACCTATGTGTGTGTGTGTGTGTGTGTGTGTGTGTGTGTGTGTGTGTGTGTGTGTGTGTGTGTGTGTGTATGTGTGTGTGTGTGTGTGTGTGTGTGTGTGTGTGTGTGTGTGTGTGTGCAGATAAAACCCCTAAAAACTTTATTTATAGTTAACATGGCCCTCCTCCCCCTCCTTGAACATGTGACCTGAGCTGCAGCAATGGCCGCCACCACGTACCTTGGTCATGTAGTTCACCCAGACTGCAGTTTAAGGTCAACCACAGAGACGTAAAGGTCATTACTCCTAACCCCCCTCTCTCTCTCTTGTGTGAATGTGGAGGTCGACAAGGTCACTATTGCTGTGGGATAGTAATGAGGGTTTCCGTCCTATGGGGTGGGGCTTGGCTTGGATGTGGGTTGATATTGTGTTGCTAGGCAGGGAGGGTGGGTGTCTCTCTCTCTCTCTCTCTCTCTCTCTCTCTCTCTCTCTCATTTCTTCATTTTGTTCAACTTTCCTCTGCTCTTCCTTTTCTTTCACTACTTCTTCTTCTTCTTCTTCTCTCCTCCTTCTATCACCACTTTCTTTATCTCTTCCTCTTCTGTCTCCTCCTCTTCTTATTCCTACTTCATACAACTCCTCCTTCTCCTCCTTTTTCAATCCTTTCTCTCCTTCCTCCCTCTGCGTTCTCATTCTCTTCTATATATATTATCTTGTTCCTCCTTCTCTTCCCCGTTCTCCTCTCCTCTTCTTCCC